GACGACGACGCCGACACCGACGACGACGACGCCGACGACGCCGACGACGACAAAGACGACAACGACGACGTCGCCAACGAAGACGGCGACGACGACTGAGAACGGAGGACGACGACGGCGGCAACGACGACAAGGGCGAGGGAGAAGGGAGGACGGCGACGACGCGAGCGACGAAGAAGGAGGGAGGACGGCGACGCCGACGACGACAACGGACGACGGGTGAACGAGGGGGAAGACGACGCCGACGACGGACGACGCCGACGACGACGACGACGTCGACGACACGCCGCGACGACGACGACGCCCGACGTCGACGACGACGAAACGACGACAACGTCGACAACGACCGACGACAGCGACGAGGGAGAAGGGAGGACGCGACGGCGACAACGACGACAACGACGAGGGAGGAGGGAGGACGGCGACGACGCGAACGACGAAGAAGGAGGAAGGACGGCGACGCCGACGACGGCAACGACGAGGGAGGAGGGAAGACGACGACAACGACAACGACGACGACGACGACGACGACTGCGACGAAAGAGGAGGGACGACGACGAGACGCCGACGACGGACGACGACGACGACGAGGGAGGAGGAAGAAGGACGACCACGGCGACAACGACGACGGAAACGACCACGACGCCAAAGAGGACGACGACGACGAACACGAAGAAAGACAGAGGACGACGTAGGCGACGACGACGACGACGCGGGGGGAGGGAGGTCGGCGACGACGACGACGACGACGACGACGCAAGAGCGCGCGCGCACGCTTTTGTTGAAAAGCCGCGTTGCGAAACCTAGTGTTTTTGTATGTTTTTTGGACACACGATTTTGAAATCCTTCCGAAACCGATGGGTTTTGAAGGATTTCGGCATACGCACGCGACGACGCGCGCGTCTGTTTTTCGTTCAGTTTTTTGCAGAGGGTTTTCGCGACGGCACACGCGCAAGGGCGTTCGACAGATTTCGACATGCGCGCGCGAAGCCCGTTTGGTAGCATGTTGTGAAAATCATGAAAAACATATGGTTTTCGCAAGATTTCGCAAGAGCTCGCGCGTAAGTTTTTTTAGCAAATCGGTGTTGCGAAACCGTGTGTTTTTGTTTGTTTTCCCCGGAAAGGGTATAGGCCCAGGGTTCTCTTTTAGTAGGTTTACCCGTGGTTTTGACGGCTGTAGGGCCAGCGAATTTCTTTTGCGATAAATAACGAGGTCGCGTAGGGCCGGCGAATTAAAATTTGAGGATGTCGCGGACGAAACGCTTGTTCTCCAGAATGTCTTGAGGATGTCTCGAGCGAAACGCTTGTTTTGTGTTCTAGATTGTCCTCTTCTGGGGACCTGAATTCTGAGGATCTCTCAAGTGGACTGCTTGTTTTCACGTGCCCAGCTCTTGAGGATGTCTGGAGCGAGACGCTTGGTTTCACGCCTCCAGGTGGCCCAGACAGATGTCTAGCATGAGGAGTTGTTGAGGATGTCTCGAACCAGAGGCTTGCTTTCACGTATCCAGGTCGCCCAGGCGGATGTCTAGCATGAGCATTTGTTGAGGATGTCTCGAGTGAGACGCTTGTTTGCGTGTCCAGGTTGCCCAGGCGGATGTCTAGCATGAGGATGTGCTGACAACGTCTTGAGCGAAACGCGTGTTTTCACGTGTCCAAGTCGCCCAGGCACAGCACAGCCCTCGGCACGGTACATCAATACGTACCCTTAGCTTGCAAGCCTGAATGTTGCCGGCACGTTCCGCGGAGCGTCCCGTGGGAGTCCCCCTGGCACGTCGAGCCGGTTCACGGCCATTTGGCACGTTCCGTAGCGCGTCCCTTGGCGTCCCGCGATGCGTGCCCATGGCACGTCCCCTGGCACGTCACCTGGCGCGTCCCTTGGGGCGTTCCGCGGCGCGTCCTCCTGGCATGTTCCCCTGTCGATTATTTCTGGGGCAGCTACCATCTGCTCAGGCAGCTCGAGCTTAAGATCTAGATCAGTTCGGTGAGGACTCGGATACAACGAGGGCTCGATCCACAACGCTACATAGGGCACAATCGCGGCATGGCACATCGCAGCTCAGCACGGCCCAGCACAATACAGCCGTCTGCACGGTACATCAAGATCGATACATTCAACATTGCACCTGGGCACGTTCCTTGGCGCGTTCCGTGGCGAGTCCACCTGGCACGTCGCGCGGCGCGTCCCCTGGCACGTCCCACGGCACGTCCATTGGCACGTTCCGTAGCGAGTCCACTTGGCACGTCCCGCAGTGCGTGCCTATGGCCCGTCCACTGGCACGTCGCCTGGCGCGTCCCTTGGGACGTCGCGGCGGTCTCATGGAATGTTCCCTCTGTCGATTAGTTCTGGGGCAGCTACCCTCTGCTCAGGCAGCTCGAGCTTACGCTCCAGATCAGTTCGGTGAGGACTCGGATGCCAGGGAGGACTCGATCCACAACGCTATATGGCGCACAATCGCGGCATGGCACATCGCAGTTCAGCATGGCGTAGCACAGCACAGCCCTCGGCACAGTACATCACCATCGATACATTCAGCATTGCATGTGCCCGTCGCCCCATCAGGTGTCTTTAAACTGTTGCAATGCCTTACATTTCTATATTCCTTTCCGGGTTCGTGGGTCGATCATGTTTGTTTATGGAGGTGGGAACCATTATTTGCCTGCTTGAACCTTCTGTTCCGGAAGGTGGCGGTTCGTGAAAACGATCGCAGGGAACAAGACAACATTCTGCAGTGTCCTTTTCTTCTCTACTTCATCCCTCCGCTGCTATGTGTCCAGGCTGTGCTATGTGTCGAGGCTGTGCTGCTATACGGTCCCCGTGAAAGGAGTGCCGTATTGAGGCGGGGCCTCTTGTCTGACCGCGGGCCCAGGGAATTCCATTGGAGTTCCCTGTGGGGCCCCGATCCCCGTCAGGTGCATGCCGAACGGAGTCGGTGGCCGCTCTGTGTCCGCGGGCCTTGGGGCTTGTTGGTGCAGCTCCAGGCGGGGCCTTCTTTGTGGCTGGCAGCGAGTTCCCTGTGGGGCCACGATGCCCGTCAGGTGCGTGCTCAACTGAGTCGGTGGCCGCTCTGTGGCCGCGGGCCTTGGGGCTTGTTGGTGCAGCTCCGAGCGGGGCCTTCCATGTGACCGCGGCCCCTGTTTTCTTCGGTGGAGCTCCCTGTGTGCCATGATCCTCGTCAGGGGTGTACCGAATCGAAGCGAGGCTCCCTGTGTGCCATGATTCTCGTCAGGGGTGTACCGAATCGAGGCAAGGTCCCTTGTGAGGCTGCGTCGCCTGGGGCATGCGGTGGAGCTGCTTGTAACACTACGAAGCGGGTGAGGGGTGCGCTCAGGGAGGTGGAGGAAAGGGAGAAGCAGAAACAGGAGAGAGGAGGAAGGAAGGAAGGAGGAGAAGGACGGAGGACGTGGGGAGGTGTTCAGGGACAAGCGTGGTCGTGAAGAGGACGGCTCCTCCAGGGGCCCGAGAGTTTCGCGGACGCTTTTCGGTTGTCTTCGGGTAGTCTCGGGTGCCTGCGGGTGCTCTTCGGGTGCCCTTCGGATGCCCATCAGGTGTCTTACGGGTGCCTCTCGGGTGCCCTGCGGATCCTTTTCGGCTTTGGGTGGCTCCGTGGCTTCCTCGTTGTCGTCGTCGCCGTGTTTCCCGCTCCTCTAGGGGCCCGAGAGTCCTGCGGATGCTTTTCGGGTGCCCTTCGGGTGCCTTCGGATGGCGAGGATGACGACGATAATGAGGATGACGAGGGTTCTCCGCTGCCGCGCCAGGCTCTAGTGAGGCTGCGCCCACGTTTCTCTGACTCCACGTTTCGGCGTCGCGGCCATGTCGCAACCCAACAAGAACGAGCGCAAGCGTCTGCTGCGCTTGAGCTGCCCCTTGGTGGCAGCCAAGCGCGCCGCCTACGAGACGAAGGCGAGCCTCGAGGAGGAGGCTCCTGACGCAGCTCCTGACGCTGCCGGAAGCTCCAAGGGCAACAGCACAAAGCAGCCGGAGGGCAACGGCAAGGGGAAGGTCTGCGGCAAGGGCAAGGGGAAGCTCTGGGGCAACGGCAAGGGCCAGCCAAAGGGCAAAGGGGACGGGAACGCTCCGAGGGTTGCCCCCGCCGCGGCGCCGCCCGGCGCTGTGGAGGAGGCGACGAAGAACGCCACGGAGCGCCAGGTTGGTCTGCTCGAGGAAATCAAGACTTGGACGAAGCTCGGGGAGCCCAAGGCGAAGGCGGTGGTCGCGTGGTCGCTCGACGCTTCGGAGTCCGTTGGGGCTCTCGTGGACGCGACCCGGGACAAGAAGCACAAGTGATTATCCGCGGACGTGCCTGTCAGCGCGGACGTGCAGAAAGCTTTGGACAAGTACTTGGAGACGCAGCGCACGGCGAAGCATCTCGCCATTGTGACATTCAAGTACGCGTTGCAGCAGCAGTGGGTCTGGACCGAGGACGGCGTGTCTGAGTGGCAGACTCCCCGGTGGGTGTACGTCTTGCTCGGTGTCCGCGCGCCGTAGTGCGCGGTGCGCCACCCGCTGCCCGAGGCCCGACGGCCTCGGCGTCGTGCTTGAACACGATGCCCGACGAAGCCAAGAAAACACTATAGAAACGCATCTTCTTTTTCTGGCCCTTTTCGGGCCCCGGGGCCGTGAGAGATGACGAACTTACTGTTCCCCGCGGAACAGTCAGAAAACGGCGCGCGCAAACGTGTAGAGCGCGGCGGCAATCGTCGGAACTCCCCAGAGGCGCCGAACGCAGCCAAAAAAGAAGCCGTCATGGCAGGGCGTCTTCGTCTTTTGGGCCATCTTCGGGACCCGGGATCGTGAGAGATGACGACCGTGCTGTTCCCTGCGGGGGCCATTTGAAAACGGCGCGCGCAAACGCATGGGGCGCGTAGGAAATCGTCGGAACTCCCCGAAGGCGCCAAACACAGCCAAAAAAACGACTCTGGAAGAGCATATTCGTTTTTTGGGCCCTCTTCGGGGCCCGGGACCGTGGGAGATGACGAACGCGCTGTTCCCTGCGGGAACCGTATGAAACGGCGTGCGCAAACGCATGGAACGCAGTGGAAATCGTCGGAACTCCCCGGAGGCGCCAAACGCAGCCAACAAAAACACTATAGACAAATATCTTCGTCTTCTGGACCCTCTTCAGGCCACGGGACCGTGGAGATGACGACCGTGCTGTCCCTTGCGGGAAACATCGGGAAACGGCGTGCGCGGACGCGCGGAACGCATTGAAAATCGTCGGAGCTCCCCGGGGGCGCCAAGCGCAACCTCAAAACAAGCAATTATAGACAAGTATCTCCGTCTTCTGGGCCCTCTTCAGGCCCCGGGACCGTGAGAGATGACGAACGTATTGCTCTCTGTCGGAAACATCGGAAAACGGCGTGCGCAGACATGTGGAACGCAGTGAAAATCTTCGCGTCCTGCGCCTAGCCTGGCGCCGGTGTACAAAGGCACTTCTCTCGTGGATGTTAGCTGCGTAGGCGACGCGTGCGTTGGTCGAAGGCAACGGCGGTGCGCCAGAGAATGCGACAGATGCATCGGCGATGCTTCCCTGGCGTTCCTGATCAATGCGAGGGCGGTGCAATTTCCACGGCAGACAGACGCGTCGGCGATGCAGCTCTGGCGCTCCTGACTGAGGGCGATGCAAGTACCGCACCGGACCGGTGCATGGGAGATGCGTGCGATTCGCCTGGGACTAACGAGTCGCCCAGACCGGAGAGGCACAGAGATGGGGTGAGTGCAAGGGTGGTCACGGCTCCACGTCGTCCATAAACATTGCGGCTCGACGATTTTGATTCCTTCATCGTCTGGCACGCTCCACCAGCAGCCATCGGTGATCGGGAGTTCGTGCTTGTTCTTGCCACGCCTACATGTCAGCGATGTCCGCGCAGTCCCAGCAGTTCAAGGAGGAAATGGAGTCCGCTTGGGCACGCAAAGACGAGAACTTCGACCCAGAGCTCATATTTGGAAAGGTCGGCTACCAGTTCGTTCTGTCCCATGCCATCCGCTCTTCGACGCACCCGCTGGTGACGGGGGTCACGCTCGTTGCAGCCGTGGCGCCGCTGACCAATGGGGCCAACGTCAAGACGTTCCCAGGGTCGCCCACGCAGCTCAACGTTGTCGCTGTCCTGACCAACTTTCCTCAGACATGAAAGTCTCAGATGACCAATTTGGCGAAGGAGATCGGCGACTGCCTGGGCGCGAAGATCCTCGCCAAGCTCGAGGCCGTGGTCGCCGAGGAGTTGGAGGCGCGCAACCGCCCAGTGGGCATCGGTGGTCCGGGCGCGCAGCCGAAGGCCCCCCCTCGCGTGGCCAGCGCAGCGTTGGCCTCGCTCACCCCTGCCAAGTTCTTCGAGAAGAGATGAGCGGTGATGCGCAGCAGCTTGATAATGCTGAAGATGTCGGGCCCCCCTCGCTGCGCGGGGGCGCCCACCTTGGCCGGCTCGCGAACGCCGATGAGGTATATGCGCCCTTCGCCGCCTTCGGCTTGATCCGCGACGACTCCCATCGCTCGCCCACCAATGCCCAGACGGTCAACGAGCACGCTGGGACCCTCAATCGCCTGCTGCAGTGGGGGGGGGGGCCCGCGCGCAACAAAGAGCTCAGGATCCTACGGGGGAGGTCTCACGCCAGAGGTGTCCCTCGTCTGGCTGGGCAACGTCCACCCAGAGATCGCCGCCCCGTTGGGCAGGGGCGCTCTGGGCAGCCACGCGGGGGCTACCAAAGAGCGCATGTTCTTCTACACGGGCCGCCCAGAGCCTCCTCACAGCGCCATTCCAGATGCGTATATGCCGCCCGAGAACCACGACCCCTGGGCGCGATTCTGGGAAACTTTAACACATGATGACCCTCCCTTCAGTTTTTGGCCCGCAGCGAGTCGGCGGGGCGCGACTTGGGAAATCCCAAATCGCACAGCGCCGTGGGGCCATCCGGGGCAACGTTGGAAAGCCGCGTTGTGGGTTCCCCTGGGTCTCTGGTGCGCCGTCTTGGATTGCCTGGTCTTCTCCGGGACATCGTGGCCAGGCGCGCCAGGTTTTTTTGTTATATATATATATATATATATATACATATATAAAAAGCAAACAGAATAGCAGTTTGCATTCGCAGGCGCGGGCAGAGCTGGACGTGGACATGGCCGTGCTGTCCGGCATGGAAGAGCTCATCGGGGGCCCCGAGGCTGCGGGGCAGGCGCAGTTGCCCAGGGCGCGCCCCCATGCGGACGAGGCGCCAGAAGAAGGCGGGGACCGCTCCGTTCGGTGCCGCCCCGACGCGGAGGGGTTCCTCTTCGCGTTGCCGGACGGCGTGCCCAGTCGCCTGCGGTATTGTTGGGCCAACGACGAGTGGGTGGCCGAGTATCGCATCGGCAACAAGAGCATCCCGTTGCCTCCATCGCACGAGATCACGGCAGCGGCGGAGCGAGTTCCCACTCTCTTCTCGAAGGCGGGGGGGACTGTGACGTTGTCCGAGGCTGCCGCGAAACTCATGCGCAGCGTCAGTACCTTCGCCTCGGTCAAAGCGTCTTTGGCCGTGGAGGAAGGGGACAATGTGACCAGCGCGCGGTGGGGGATTGCCCCTTGGAAAGCGAGCGTATTGACTGGCCTGCTGTTCGCTGTCGACGCATTTGTCGGACAGGCGCCCGCTGCCAGGCCAGACCCCGCAGGTGCGCTGGTCGCCGCGCGGGGGCAGGTGGAGCGCGCCAAGCGCTTGCTGGCCTTGCTCGAGGGCGCGCGTGAGCAGTGGCTTGACGCCACCGATGAGAGGCGCGCGAAGTCGGTTCTGCGCATGAGCCAGCAGAGCGCCGAGTTCTTGGCTGGCCTGCCCGCTGGGTTCGGCCTGGAGCAGGGGCAGCCGTCGGGGCTCGCCGGCGCAGAGCCGTCTGGGGCGCCAGCCGCAACGGCGCGGCCGCCAACGAAGCGAGCCCGCGCGCAGAGCGCCGAGCCGCCGGCCTCGGCGCAGAGTTCGCGACCAGCCGCCAGCCGGGCGGATGCTGTCGCCGGGGGCGCCGATCGCGGCGCCCGCGGGGCCGCCCTGTTTGCGCCGCTGGAGGGCCAGGCGATCGCGCCAGGCGCGCAGACCCAGGGGGCGCCGCCATCCGCCCTGCCTGCGCCGCCGGGAGCCCTGCCGAGCGCGCCAGTTTGCCCGCGGCATGCGGAGGCGCCGCCTTCTGCCACCGAGCCCAAGCAGGTCGCAGACGGCGCGCCCATGTCCAGAGGCTGCGGCCCCCGCGGCGGCACAGTGCAGGCGTTCGCCGAGGGCCAGGGCGAGGCGTGGAAGACGGACCGCGACATCGTCCGCTACACGTCGCAGCGGGGGGTGGTCAAGTGCTCCGAGATTTGCGGGAACTTGCGCCGCGAAGTTATGGTGAACGGCAGGAAGAAGCATTTGGGCTTGCCCCAGAAGGTCTGGGAGGACGTGATGGCCGCTGCCTTGGCGCAGCACCCTGTCGGCGACTTGCTCGAGGCGGGCGCGCCGAGATCCAGGGTTAAGTGGCACGCGCCGCCGTCGGCGGAGGCCGGGCGCGAGGCCATGGTCAAGTGGCGCAATCTCCTGGTGGACATGTGCAGGCTCACAGGCCGCGAGGTGAGGGTCCTCTTGCAGCGGGCCCGGGCCCCCGCGGCAAGCGGGTAACTATCCGCTCGCTTCTTGGCACCCCGCGTGTCGAACGCTAGTCAAGCAGACGCGCTGCGCTCGAACCGGCGGGGGGCTGGTGCGGCCGTATTCGGCCAGCAGCGCGACTCCAGGTCGCCCGCCGGGCCGTCGGGCGACGATTTTGATCGCCCTGCGCCGCGCGGCACCTCTCCCAGGCCCATTGGGGCGCGATTTTGAACAAATCAGGTTGTGCGGCATCTCCCCCGGCTGTGGCCACAGTGCGCCGCTTCGGGCAATCGCTTGGAGAAGATGAGGCATTGCGCTTTATCGCGGGCCCCGCCATGCAACAGGTCTCGCGATGGAGTCGCTTAAGACGCTGCCAGTGAATTTCTAACGGCACGTTCGCATGTGGTTAAACAGTTTTTCAAGCTCTCTTAGATGCGCTACAATCGCTTGCTGGACATGCGCAGGCGCAGGCTGCAGGCTCACAGGCCGCGACGTGAGGCCAGCGGGGCGAGCGCAAGGCATTGGGTGGTGACTGACGTTGCCCAGGGTCTTCGTCGCGCGGGCGCGGGCGCGCGGCCCGCGCTTGCCGCTCTCGCGACGTGGGCGTGCCCCGCTCGGTTTGCTGGCGGCGTTTCCCCGTCGGCCGGACCTGCGTTCGCGACCCCCCGTCGCCCAGGGCTACTTCGGCGCGGCGGGTCCATGCCGGGCTACAGTCTTCCCCTCGCGATGCTTTCAGGCATTTTGCTTCTCGCGCCCTCCCCCTTTCCCCACCGGCGTCGCCCCCTCGCGCGTCCCTCGCGCTGGGCGGCGCCCATTTGGCCCGGCGCCATTTTGCTCCGCAGACGGCCGAGGCTGGCCTTTGCGGAGCCATGTGAGCACGGCGCGGGCATGCCGGAGCCCCTTGGCCTCGCGGGCCGGGCGAGCTAAACGGTGGCCGAGGATTCGTTTGAGGACAGGGAAACATATCCATCTATGCCCCCCTCCCGTTGCGTTCCCCGAGCACCGCGCAAGTGAAAGCGGCGCGACCCCGATTTGGTTATTCTATCTCCCGCGCCAGATCAACGCAGTTCAGAGCAACGCGACGGAATGCAAAGCTATGCGCTGCACAGAGCAGCAATGCGCTAAGCGAAACTGTGAAAACGAAAGGACAGTAGACAATTGGGGGGCCAGAGTGGCAAGAGACATTTGGGGAGACATGGGGGCGAGAGACGCGCGGATGGGAAACCGAGGGGGCGAGAGACAGGTAGGGAAGCAAGAGGAGTCAACCCAGACAAGCCCGCGCAACGCGGGCAGCAAGCCGGGGAGGGCTGGCCAGCGCAGTCCGGGCCCTTGTCAGTTCTTTGAGAACAAGTACGAGCCTTTTGGGCAGAGCCTCCTGGGGGGGCATTCGAGTTCAGACCGCCTCTATGTCGCCCCCGAGCCGCCGACTCATTTCCGACGTTCCGTAGTTTTGGGCTCAAGTTGCGCGGCCTGCCCCGCGCGTGGCCGCGCAACTGATGGATCCGGCCGTTGTGGAACAAGCGTTGGAGTCAGCCGACGTGGCGGGGCTGCTCGGTCCCGCAGATATACAGAGACTCGCGGCTGCGGTGGTGGCGCGCATCAGCGTCGGAGAGGTCGCGCCCCCGGGGCGACGCTGCCTAGCGTGCTCGCATGGGCAAGAGTGCCGCAATAAAGCCGACACCGCGCTTGTTCTTGACGCAGATGGGCCCCGTGAGTTCACGCATGTCCCAGTCAGGTGCCAGGCGGCGGGGTGCATTTCGCGAGGGAAGCACCAGTGGGCCAACTTTATTTCTTTGAAGAAGGGCGTCCACAGATATGTGTGGATGCGTGATGATTGGCCGGGCCCTTTCATGATTTCCCCAACGTTTGGCATTGCGCAGAGTTGGTTCAGACAGTTTTCACGACGCCTTACTCATCAGCGCGCTTCATTTTGGGGCCAGGCTGATGTTCATTGGCGGCCTTAATCGGGCATCTCCAAAAAGAGATTGCACATGGAGCTGATGAAGGCGTGGTTCCTGATGCGGCTGTTGACGCGTCTGGCAGAAATGAAGGGGTCCAGGTCGTATTTGCAGCTCCGGTTGTCGGCGCCTGTCGAGCACGTCATCCAAGCTATTTGGCCGCAGTTGCAGACCCACTTGCGGAACTTGCGGCGCCGGCGCGCCGAGATCGACGGGGAGGTTTCTAAGGTCGTCAAGCTCACCCGGAAGTGTTGCGGGCCGATGTATGGAGGCTGCGCCCGCGATCCAAATCTCGGCAAGGTGTGCTTGCACCCCTGCTCTGCCCCCACGAGGGGCCAGCGCGAGCGCTGGTGCACTTGCCGCGCCCGCTTGCTGGAGAAGCCCGTGCCGTTTGAGGGCGCCAAAGACGCAGGCGTTTTTCTTGTCCGGCGCCGCGAATGCTTGGGGGGCGCGCTGGACGACGTGCTCTGTGCGACGTCGCAGCGGCAAGGCGTCGGAGCAGTTCGAGTGGTTGACGATATTGAGGGCTGCTGGGGCGCCGCCCAGTCCACTTTGGTCAGGCGCGCCGCAGATGCCGCGAAAGACGCGGCCGAGTCCCGTGCCAGCGAGGGGGCGCCGGACAAACTCAAGGCGAAGCTGCCCCAGTTCCGCTTGAGAAAACGCAAAGCACCACTTGGGCCACCCCTGGCAAGATCTGGCCCGCCAGCAGATGATGCGCCACAGGAGTCTGCTTTTGCCGCGCCCGTCCAGAGTTTGCCTGCGAGGCCGCAGAAAAAGCGCAGGTTGCCCGCTGGCCTGCGCACTGCTGCGAGCCGCGGCGATGGGGCGCGCTCTTCGGCGAGCCGCGGCGATGGCAGCGCCGGCCGAGCCGCGCGTGCGACGGCTGCGCAGCCTGCGCAGCCCGTAGACCCCGCGGAGGCACCTCCGGCGGTCGACGCATCACTCAGGGAGCTGGAGCAGATTTCGTGCAACACCCACAAGAGCTTTGCCAAGGGAGGGAAGCGGGGCAAGCTGGAGTCCGCCTCTCTTGCAGTGCGGCGAACTGGGGGGTTCCTTGTCGCGTGCTCGCCCAGCGGGCACATTATCGACGTGGAGGAGTTCTTCGGCGTTGAAAGCTTGGCGCAGCGGTATTGCTTTCTGGCCCGCTTGAAGAAGCGATTCCCAGCCTTGAACGTCGTCATCCACGACGACGCCTGTCATCTCCGCCAATGCAGCACCAATAGAAAGGACCAGTCTGCCTTAGCCGCCTTGTTGGCACGCCCGTGCGTCGTATGCGTGGTGGACAGATTTCACGCCAGAGGCCATGTCGACCCATGGTGTAAGCAGCACTGCTGCCCCGTCGCACCAGGCGCCAAGGAGCTTGTTGACGGCGCAAACGCCAGCATCTGCGAGATGACCTTCTCTTGGGCGGCGAGGTATCTAGTAGCCTTCGGCTGTCCCGCCATCTCGCTCCGATTGCGAATGCCGCGCGCCCGAGAGCGCTCGGAAACGGGAGGGGAGGCGTATCCTTTCTTGTTTTCCAAGTAGGATGCTTGCTTGGCCATGACAAAAACCAGGCTTAGCGACTGCGCGCCAGAGGCGTGGTGGCGGATCAACACATGGTGCGAACAATGGGCCGGCATGTGGCGAATTACTTTTTGGCCGAATGCATCGATATGCGGAACACGGTGCACTCACGAGGCCGAGACGCAGAGTCCAGCTCTGATACTTCCGAAAGCTCCAGCGACACAGGCACCAGTTCAAGCTCTGGTCGTTGAACACGTAGGATCGACTTTGGGCCGTCGTGCGCGTCGTTGGCCCCCGCCCAGGGCTGCGACGCTGCCCGCGGCCGGTGGCGGGCAACAGCTCTGCGCGCTGAAGCTTGCGCGCGTCGGACTTGCGCGCTCCTCTCCCCGTTCCTGCCCAGGCGTCCCGCAATGGCGGTGCTTCGTAGGCATAGTGGCATTTTGCCCCAGATACTGCAACGTCAGGCCTGGCCAGGGCCATGAGAGCATGCCGCCCGCATGCCGCGGTTCTCCAGCAGGGCGACCCTTGCAAGCAACGTAGTCGCGCTGCATGTAATTAGTGCATTGAAAAACATGCCAGTCAGCGTGGGCCCCAAACAGTGGTTGTCTTGCAATCTATGTGGTGCACTCTGGGTGGTGTAAGCTATATCGTGCAATCTATGTGGGGCAACGTGGTGTTAGGTATGTGATGCAAGCTATGTTGTAAGAGCTTTGGTATTCATCTGGAACCACGCGTCCGGGGGAGGGGGGGGGAGATACATTTTTGGGCCCGGAGGCCGCTTGGGCGGAGATGTGCGACACCTGGGAGTGTCTGGGTGTTTCTTTGTGCATTTGCTAGTGTTGTGCGTGCCGAATTTCGCGCTGTCCTAATGGGCCGTCTTGGGCCCGAATGGAAGCCCTGTTGGACCTTTTTGGGCCGATCTTGGAGGCTTTGTGGGCAATCTTGGACGCTGTGAAACGCCCAAGGGTGAATCTGTTAAGCATATATGTTTTCCCAAAGGAATGGGACGTCTTTGGCCTCTTGTGTCTCTCTCGGGGCTTCTTCGGCGGCTTCTGAGGCCGTCGGGAGACCATCGTGACCGACATGGGGCGATCTTTCGGCGACTGGGGCGTCTCCGAGCCGTGCTGGTCCTCTCCTGGAGCGCCCTGGGGGAGTTGACCGGGATTCCGCCGGGGATCCGCCGGGTACTTGTCGTCCGGGGTCCTCCAGGGGCTACCCCGAGCGCGCGAATTGCAGGTCCGCGTCGGCAGATATGCTTCGGCAGACCCTGTTGGGCGGCTTCGGGAGGACCTCTTCGGTGAGGGTCCGCCCGTTCGGTTCAACCGTCGTCGTCGCCGGTCGGCGTCGTCCGCGTCGTAGTCGTCGGCGTCGTGGGCGTCGTCGGCGTCGTCGTCGTCGTCGGCGTCGTTGGCGTCGTCGGCGTCGCCGCCGCCGTTGGTGTCGTCGGCGGAGTCGTCGTCGGCATCGGCGCCTTCGTCGTCGTCGTCGTCGGTGCCGTCGTCGTTGGTGTCGTCGGCGTCGTCGTCGGCGTCGTCGTTGTCGGCGGCGCCGCAGTCGTCATCGTCGTCGGCGTCGGCGTCGGCGTCGGTGTCGTCGTCCCCGTCCGCGCCCTCGGCATCGGCGTCGTCGTCGTCGGCGTCGTCCGCGTCGTAGTCATCGTCGGCGTCGTCGGCGTCGTCGTTGTTGGCGTCGTCGCCGCCGCCGTCGTCGTCGTCGGTGGCGCCGTTCGCCCGACCCGACCCGCCCGACCCGACCCGCCCGTTAGGGTCCGGCCGACCCGACCCGACCCGACCCGCCCGTTAGGGTACGCGCGTGCCAAGTCGATGATGCATCATACTTTAATGTCCCGCCCGCCCGACCCGACCCGCCCGTTAGGGCCCGCCCCGCCCCGCCCGCTCCGCCCGACCCGACCCGCCCGTTAGGGTCCGGGCGACCCGGCCCGACCCGCCCGGTAGGGTACGCGCGTGCCAACCCGATGCATCATACTTTAATGTCCCGCCCGCCCGACCAGACTCGCCCGTTAGGGTGCGCCCGCCCGACCCGACCCGCATGTTAGGGTCCGCTCGACTTGACCCGACACGCCCGCGAGGGTACGCGCGTGCCAACTAGATGATGCATAATACGTCAATGTCCCGCCCGCCAGTCCCGACCCGCCCGTTGGGTCCGCCCGCCCGCCCGACTCGACCCACTAGGGCCCGCCCGACCCGTCCCGACCCAGCCCGCCAGGGTCCGCCCGACCCGACCCGTCCCGCCTGGAGCCGCGCGTGTTAGCTCGACGATGCATTGTATTTTAATTTCCCGCCCGCCCGACCCGACCCGCCCGTCAGGGCCCGCCCGCTCAGCGAGGCGTTGCCATGGGCAGTTCTGTTCGTGCACGCGTTCGCGTTCACTCATGGCGCTCGCATGTTCACACCATATGTATACCACTTCTCTGTGTGCCATGCTGCTGTTGCTGCTGCTGCATATTGTCTTATTTGCCCTCCTCCTATTCCTCCTCGGGCTCTTCCTTATGCTGCTCTTCCTCATCCTCGGGCGGCCTGCGGGAGGCCTCCAGGAAGGATGGGGAGGAGGACAGTGAGGGGAGGAGGATGCTGGTGATAGAAATGAGGATGAGGATGAGGATTCGATGAGGACGATGTGGAGGACAATGAGGATGAAAAGTACAATGAGGATGAGGATGACGAGGATGACGATGCGGAGGACGATGAGGATGAAGAGGATTAGGATTAGGAGGATGAAGATGAGGATGGTGATTTGGATGATACTGACGATGCTGATGATGGCGATGAGGATGGTGAGGATGACGACGATGATGAAGATGAGGAGGGTTCTCGACGCACCGGACGCACCGAACCTGCAAAGCCCACCACACGCAGGCCGGACCCATCGGACCCACAGGACCCACCGAACCCACCGGACCCACAGGACCCACCAGTCCTTGCGCGCGCGTTGCCAAGGCGCGCGCTTTGCCGTTCGAGCGGTTGGGCGAACTCCCTGGGGGCCTGGGCGCCTGGGGCGGCGGAGGCCCCATCTGCCCGAGGAATGCCATCGTGGCTGGGGCGTGGTGGATGACTCGTGAGATTGAGCTCTCGACCGCCGGTGTGTGCCTCTTATCGCTCGCGCGCTGCGACCGCCCGCTGGCCACTTGGCACCCGCCGGCGTCGGGGACAGACGTGGCCGCGCTCGGCGTCGCTCGGACGCGCGGCTGCTCCTGCGCCCTGGGTCGACCTCCTCGCCCGTGTTGCCCAGCGCATGCCATCCTAGAACAGCTATTATTATTGCAGCGCGAGTTCCATGAGCGGTGGCACGAGGGCGTCGCCGATCGCGATCTCCCGTTGTTTCCGACTTAGGCAGGCAAAATGGTCAGCAAAGGAGGCGAAAAATAAAAAAAAAAAAAAAAAAATACAAAAGGAGGCGATGACCGCGACCATCCTCTCTGCGGCGACCTTCCTCGGCATCCCCGCGGCTGCCCCAGACGGTGCCGAACGCGTCGGGGGCCAGGGCCTCCGCCCCGCAGGAGCGCGAGGCTTGGCGCGTCTGGGGGTCGACCTCTGGTCGATTCAGCTCTCTGGGCGGTGGGGCTCATCTGCCGTCCAGGGGTGCGTGCGGGAAACGCCCCTGGAGGCGGCGACGGGATGGGCCGCGCGCGCGGGCAGCAACGTCGACCTCGAGTCCGTGCTCGGCCGGGTCGCAGACGTCCGGGCAGAGCTCGTCGAGCTCCGCCGCGGCCAACCCGCAGCGGACAGGCCGGTTGAGCTGGTTCCCAGCCAGATGCGTTCTGAGGCGGGGCGCCGGTCGCTGCGCCGCGAGCTGCTTGACGCCACTGTCCACCAGGAGGCGAACCAGCGGCGCCCCTCTGCCGGCGCTGGTGGCGTCAGGGTCTGGGCAGGTGCCGAGCCGCGACTCGGGCGCAGTGCGCGCTATCTTGATTGGGCCGCCCACCATGCCAGCAGCGGCGGTTCGGGCTTGCTGCGCACGCGCTCGATCCAGGGGCCACACGTGCCCGTTGCTTCAGAGGCTGCGACGAGGTGCCGGCCGGCGGGGGCGAGCTTGGGCGACGGCCTCCTCCGAGACGGCTGGAGCGCCCCGCGCCCGGCACGCCCGACGGAGCGGCACTCGGATAATAAGCAGCATCGGAGCTCCTCTCGGGTGGGGGTGCCAGTGCCGCTGATGATGATTGATGCTGAAGATGATGATGATGATGATGATGATGATGATGATGATGATGATGATGATGATGATGATGATGACGATGATGCTGGTGATGCTGACGATGATGCTGATGATGACGGTGCTGACGATGATGATGACGATGAGGGATGCCGCTGATGCCGATGCCGATGATGATGCTGATGCCGATGCTGATGCTGATGCAGATGATGATTCTGATTATGCTGATGATGGTGATGATGATGCCAATGATGGTGACTATGATGATGCTGCTGGTGATAAATGTTGGTGATGATGCTGATGATGCTGATGATGATGATGCCGCATATGATGATGCTGATGCTGATGCTGATGCTGATTCTGATGATGATGCGGATGGTGATGCTGATTCTGCTGAGTGCTGATGATGCTGATGATGATGACGGTAATGCTGCTGATGATGACGATAATGATGCGGATGATGATGTTGATGACGCTGGTGATTACGATGATACTGATGCCGATGATGATGCTTACGACGATGATCATGCCGATGATACTGATGATGCTGATGATGATGACGATGATGATGGTCATGATGAGCTGGTGATGATGATGCTGATGCTCACGCTGATGCTGGCGATGATGTTGATGATTATGAAGATGATGATGGTGATGCTGATGATGCTGATGATGATGGTGATGATGGTGATGCTGATTCTGATTGTGATCATGATGCTGATGATGACGATGCTAATGATGATGGTGATGATGCTGATGAGCTTATGATGCTGACGATGATGATGCTGATGATGCGGATGAGGATCAGGACGGTTTTCATGATGCTGGCTGATGCTTATGCTGATTTTGATGCTGATAATGGCGCCAGTGATGATGTGGATAATGATGATGATGATGATGATGATGATGATGATGATGATGATGATGATGATGATGATGACGATGATGATGATGATGATGATGATGATGATGATGATGCTGGCAATGATGGTGATGCTGGTGATGATGATGGTGCTGCTACTGCTGCTGATGCTGATGCTGCTGATGATGATGGTGATCATGATGATGATGAGGATGAGAAGAGGACGAGGAGGAGGAGTCAGAAGAGCAGGAGGGCGATGCTGATGCTGATGCTGATGTTGATTTTGATGGTGATGCTGGTGATGGTGGTGATGATGCTGCTGATGCTGATGATGATGCTGATGTTGATGCTGATGATGATGATGGTGATGATGATTGATGATGATGATGCTGCGGACGATGAGGATACGGGTGATGATGATGACGATGGTGA